CGCCTATAGTGAGAAGAATACCATCCCCACTGTGAAGCATAGTGGTGGCTCACTGATGTTTTGGGTGTGTGAGCTATAAAGGCACAGGGAATCTTGTGAAAATTGCTGGCAAGATGAAAGCAACATGTTATCAGAAAATAATGGCAGACAATTACATGATTTTGCTATTTCATGACGAAAAGTCATGATTTTATGAAAGACACGGAGGCGAGTATTGCATATCCCTTTCTTTACTGTCCACCAGCAGCAGCAAAGGATACAAACAGTATGAAAAAACAGTAACCATAGTGATAGGACACTCCCATATCAAGTCCCAGTATAATAGGCAGCACCTCCCCACCCAATTCCTCTTTCTTTGGAGATGCTACACGCCAACAGCAAACAGGAAACCAGGAACAGTCCAGAACTAGAAGGGCAATGGCCCAAAGTCCATCCGGATACTTGACTAGAGGACGTCCGAGAACAGGGACAAAACCAGGAATGAATGATGAAACGTTAACCATAGGGAGTCCATCTCAGCGTTAACCACCGAACTCCAGCTAACTTGGAGAAGTCCTGTGGAGAGTGATGCACTCCATGCGATGCTCCCGGTACTGAGTAAACCTGTGAAAACATAATGACAGGAGCCCAAAGGTTAAATCGGTACTAACATCAATTGCCCATGCCAAGATACGATATATTGGAAATCAAGCCACCCCTTAGTATCCCCCATTCCCTCTTAAGTCAAGAATCCCCAGGTATGTGTAGTGTCATGATTCAGATGTACATACGTGATGGAGCGCAATGCCATACTTACCGCCCTAGGACGAAATATAACAGGGGGGGAAAAAGGTTATACAAATAAGTTAAAGGGAGGGGCAATACTCGTCTCTGTGTCTTTCATAAAATCATGACTTTTCGTCATGAAATAGCAAAATCATGTAATTTTATGTCAAGACATGGAGGCTCATATTGCAAGTTTAAAGCTGAGCAATAACCGACGAGAAAACGTGTGGCTGAGGTCAAAAGTAGAATTCCTTGAAGGTGGATTCTCTGGACCAGTCCGCCATTCTCATAAGGTCTTCCAGGCGTGCCCCCGAAGAGGCCATAGAAGTGGCTGAAGCCCCTCGTGTGGAGTGGGCGCTAAAAATGGATGTGTCCACACCCGCCTGCGACATTACCCACTTCACCCAATGAGCCAGAGTCGTGCTGGATACTGGGGCGAAGGGCTGACGAATTGAGAGGAAAAGTTGAGGAGTTGAAGCCGACCGATGGGCCTTCGTCCGAAGTTCGTATTCTCTCAAACAGGTCACTGGGCACAACATAGGGGTAGTTGGAAAACTCGGGTATGAGACTGAACGTATGGCCGTCTTAGTCCTTCTGGAGATATTAAATGTCACCCTGTCCGGGGTGAAGGATCTCGCATCATGGTCCAGGGCATGTACCTCTGAGACTCGTTTGGACGAAATGAGGCAGAACAGTTGTTGCAGGGTGAGGTCCAAATTGGGCGGCCAGGAGGAAAACAGTGATAGGACGCAGGAGATGTCCCATGTGGCTGTGTATCGAGGTCTAGGGGGACGCGAGAGGCGTGAACCCTTGAGTGAGCGGCACACCAAGGGATGTTCGCCTGCTTGGCAGCTGTTGAAACCATGATGAGCTGAGGAGATGGCCGATCTGTATAGGTTAATCGTGCGATATGCTCGACCCGCTTCAAATAATGATGTGAGGAACTGGAGTATCGCTGTCACAGGAGCTGCCACGGGATCCAGGTCCCTAGCCAGGCACCAGCCAGTCCAAGCTCTCCAAGCGGTCCCGTATGAGCGTCTAGTGCCGGGAGCCCATGCGTCAGCCAGGAGGCATCGAGTTGTGTCTGAAACTCCTTGGACTTCCCAGGGACCCCTGAAATCCTCCATGTGAGTAGCCGTAACGATCCGTCCAGTAGGAGGGGATGTTGTTGGCCCAACGGGTTCAGCAGAAGGTCCCGGTGGGAGAAGGCAGAAGTGCGGGGACGTCTATTTTCAGTTCCAGGAATTGTGGGAACCACGACTGGGTACCCCAGAATGGGGTTAGCAGGACCAAGTCCGCCATCTGGTGCCGTACTTGGAGTAGCACGTGGGGAAGCATGGCAAATGGAGGGAAAGCATAAAGGCGTGCGGCGGACCAGTCTTGTAGGAAGGCGTCCACTGCTTCCGCGGCCGAGTCTGGGCACCAGCTGTAGAACCGGGGTAGTTGGGCGTTGAGCCTGGAAGCGAAGAGGTCGATGGTGAAGGGCCCCCAAAGGGACAAGATAGTGGAGAACACCTCTGTATCCAATTTCCAATCGCTGCTATCTGATAGATAGCGTGAGCTCCAATCCGCATGGGTATTGTGAAGACCAGGGAGGGATTCCGCCTGGACCATCAGGTCCCTGGCTAAGCAATAGGTCCAGAAATATTTTGCAAAATGGGCCAGCATCGCTGAAATGTTGTCCATACGCAGCCTGATGCATGCGCTAGCCGTACCGTTCGCAAAGCTCCGGATCGCAAAGGAACCGGCTAGTAGTTCCAGGGCATTGATGTGGAGTCGGGACTCGGCTTCTGTCCAGCGACCCCTGGAAGTCACACCGTTTCAGTGTGCACCCCAGCCATGGAGATTTGCGTCCGAGTCCACCGTGAACTCCAGTTGTGAGCCGAAGATGGCCTTGCCATTCCAGGCGCATAGGTTGTGGATCCACCAGGTGGATTCCGAGTCCAGGGAGACCGAATCTGCATATGAGGCCCCTTTGCAAAGGTGTGCTATCATCAGCCATTGGAGGGCCCGATAATGGAGCGGAGCTGGGAACACTGAGGAGGCCAGTAGGCCAATAAGTCGTGCCAGGTGCCGCAACAATAGCTGGTGGCACGTCAGGGCGCGTCGCAGTTCCTTGCGGATTGAGCGTGTTTTGGCCGGAGGGAGACTGAGAGACTCCGCTTCCGAGTCCACCGTGAACCCTAGGAACTCCATGTGTCGGGAAGGGAATAGGCAGGATTTTTCCCCATTGAGCAGGAAGCCCAGCCAAAATAGTAGGTCCAATGTCCATTGAAGGTGTTCTAGGAGGACCCCCCGATCTTGTGCCATGAGGATGATATCGTCCAGATAGACTATCAGTCTTACCCCTCGACTGCGCAGCCAAGCCATGGCAGGTCGCATCAATTTGGTGAAGCACCACGGAGCTGACGATAGTCCGAAAGGGAGGCATGTGAATCGCCACGTTTCGCCTTTCCAGAGGAATCGTAGTAGGTCCCTGGACGACTCGGTCACTGGGACTGTCAGGTAAGCATCTTTAAGGTCTAATTTCGCCATCCAGTCTCCGCATAGGAGTAAGGCCCGTAGGAGGTGGATGCCCTCCATTTTGAAGTGGCGGTAGCGCACTATGGAGTTTAGGGCCCGAAGGTTTATAATGGGGCGCATCTGGCCGCCTTTCTTTTCCACAAGGAAGATGTTGCTGAAAACACCAGTATGGGGCAGCGGAGCTCGTTCTATCGCTCCCTTCGTGCGGAGTGACAATAGCTCCTCGTTTATTAAGGCTCGGTTTGCCTTTGAAAGT